AGGGTTAATTACAAGTATGGGCTATTAGCCAATAAGGCTCAAACAACAAAAAGCAAGGAATCAGTACACTGAGGCTTATCAATTCGGAACAGATCATGTTACTGACACTTGTTGAGCTTGGATTTATGAGTTAGCTTGTTAGCCCAGTAAACTGACACTAAACTTTAGATTTACAAGTTAGCCCGGCAGAACTTATATCAGTAAACCGACACTTATCACACTTAGATTTGTGACTGAGCTTGTTAGCCCAGCTGGGCTTTTCCTTCACATCTCTATGAATTGATCTGTAAAATGATATTTAAAAACCATCAACAAACATTTGAAATATACCTACAGTGTGGCTTCCCTTTTTTAGTATTTTCTCCCTCTCCTCTGTGCTGGGGGTACCCAAGACCACCCCAGGTTCAAGGATTCCCTAGGAGGACTCACAGGACCCAGGCCATCATTGTACTCAGGGATGTGATTTATTACAGTGAAAGGATATAAAGCCAACTCAGCAAAAGGAGAAGGTTCATGGAGTGACGTCTGGGGGAAACCAGGCACGTGCTCCTGAGAGTTCTCTCCCGGTGGAGTCACACAGGACATGCTTAATTCCTCCAGCAACAAGTTGTGACAACCTTTGTGAAATAGTGTATGTCAGGGAAGCTTGTTCGAGACCCAGCGTCCCGTGTTTTTACCGGGGGCTGGTCACGTAGGCACCTTTGACTGGTATGTTCCAAAATCCCAGCCTCCCAGAAGGAAAGCATAAACCATGTTGTTTCTAATAATCAGTTCAGGCATAATGAGCCACTCTTCTCAGGGAATGGTGGGAGTCTCCAGAAATCCAAGTTCCTAGATGCCAGCCAGGGGCCAACCTTGCAAGTGGGCCTTTCTAGAGAGAGCAGTCAAGCTTGCTTTGCTCGTGTCTGTACATTCTCCTCCTTTTCTTTCTTGTCTCCTTCTCATTCTTCTTCCTCTTTTTAATAATATATTGGAAACTGTACAGAATGGAAGTGGTCCAGGCTTCTGGCCACCTCTGCGAGGTCCCATCAGACTGGGTGCATACAGCACTAGTCCTTCTACAAGGAAGGATGGAGCAGCAAGCCTATGTGGGACCTGATGCTGTGGTTCAGTGGGGAGGCGATGGGCACACTCGATGGGGATGGTGAGGGAATGGAGGGGGACAATTTTAAGAGCCACCACCAAAGAAGGATGGATAGATACATTTCAGAGGATGGTTTTTGGCTGGTTTCCCCTACAATTCAGTGTGCTTCTGGGCTGTCTTCTTTGGCCTTGGGTTGATTAGATAAATGTCAGTTCCTCCCCTTTCTCCAAATAATAGCACATACAACAGAATCTTCAACTCAGAGAAATATTAATTTTCTATTATATTTTACTATTTATGTCATAGTTTAACTTCTTCATACAGATACTTCAAACATGGCTACCAAGTTTTACGTACTCAGGAATTAGGCATTAGTGTCTTATTGGATGCAGAAGAGCTAATTTCATTTATGAGGAAAAATTTAATTTTAATACAACCTTCACATACAGAAGCTGATAAAAAGTGACAGTGGTGAAAAGGTATTGCTTTCTTTCTGTTCCTCACATATTTTTTTGATCAGGTGAACTTTTCCTGACTGGAAATGATATATATATTTCTTTTTTAGCTCAAACTGAGGCCAACACAAGGTAGGTAAAGCAGAGAAATCTCAGTTACGGTGTGGATGAGCTCTTTGCTTTGAATTGGGTGAGTAATTATCCTGAGGTCTGAGTAAGTTTTGTTTCGGGGCTGGGGTGGGGGGTTGCTGATAAGCCGTTGGAAAAGCCCGTGTGTGTGCCTATCAGTGAGTCTCACTGGTTAGAGAACATTCTTCAGTGTGAGGAGCCTCAGACAAGGGAGGCTGAGAGCTGGAAACACCTGATTTTGATCGCTGAAGCTGGTCTCGTTGGCTGCTCACAGAGGGGCTTTCCACAAAAGGCACACCAAGGAGGAGAAAAGGGGAAATGAGAGAGGGAAATTGCATTAAAAGTCTAAATCAAGGGGACCCAGTTTAACGAATTATTCAGCAGTTAGGATCCTAAGGAAAAAAACTTGTTTTACATTTATCTTGCCTTGATCCTTTAAACTAATTGATCAGTATAATCACTTCTAATTATTTTTGGGGCTTTTAACCCTCGCACGTCTATGGTATTAAAGTCTCTCTTTATTCAAATGTGATAAAGTCAAATCACTTTGAGAAACTGATTTTGAGAATTTGAGAAACTGACCAATGTTCCTTTAGATCAGGGATTCTTAATTTTTATTTTTTAATACTATGGACACTTTGTTAGGCGATTGAAATGTTTGTACCTCTTCTCAGAATAGTGTCTTTAAATGCATAAAATAAAGGAAACCAATTATATTGTATATTTATAAAAATATTAAAAAACCAAATTTACCAAACAGTAATAATGTGCTTTTCTGTTAGTGCATCTGACAATATTTGGTGGCAGCTCTAATACCCACCATGATTCCAAAATAGTCATATGTAAACAATATTTTGTGATATCTGTATATGCCACGTGATTTTTATTGGTAACAAAGTCATATTTACCGCTCAAGCTACTGTGGTCTGTTGCTTACATTCAGAATAGGAGAAAATGCTAAACTTCAGTTAGAAGCTAGTGAAAATAAGAATAAAAAAAACTTTTCCCCTAATTTTTGAATCCCCTGAATTCTGTCTGTGGACCCCCTGAAGGGTCCAAGGACCTCAGCTTTAGAAAATTGCAGATTCTTAGATCTTTAATGTCTGTTTTGATGAAAATATCTGCTTCTTCTGTTGGTATTTCTCTGAGGTTCTGAGCAGAGTGTTCTAAACATACATTGTACTCAATATTTATTTATTTTACTCTTAGTATTATAAAAGAAAAGACTTACATAGATTTTACTATGTGTCAGGTATTGTCCTAAATAACTTATGAATGCTAATTGTTTACAAATATTTACTGGTACAGCTGAATTAATATCTCCAGAGAATAACTCAGTATTAGCATGTTACTCAATGGGTGTGGCAGCCTTTTCTTGGGGGTTGTTGCTCCTTGGTTCTTTTTCGTCCTTTGGATTTAGCAGACAGTCCTAACACCTACTTCTTTTTCACCAGTCTGTACGTGTAATTAGGACATAGCAAAACTTTATATATGTTTGCATAGCTTTTCACTATTTTCTTTGTATTTATTCTTCTTGGGATTCGTACTGTTAAACTGTTTTTTCTTCACTGAATGAAAGATTCTTTAAATTCTATAGTGCTTTATAATTTTCAAAAGTTTCACACACATGATTGCAGACAATCTCATAAAACTCTTTTCCCCACGTCTATATTCCTGCCCCCTCAGTTTCCTCTCCCTACACCTCTTCCCTTCCCCTCCCCCACCCTTCCCCACTTCCCCCTCCCCCACTTCCCTCTCCCCTTCTCTCATTTCCTTTTTCCCTGTTCCCTCTTTCCTCTCCCCTCTCCTCTCTGAGTCTGCTTCTTTTTTGTTATATTCACTAGTTTGTTGTATTTGTTGGATTGCACATATAAGTGATAATATACAATAATTGCCTTTCTCTGTCTGGCTTATTTCACTTAGCCATAATGCCCTCCAAGTCCACCTATGTTGCTGCAAATGGTAAGATTTCGTTCTTTTTTATAGTGAGTGGTATTCCATTGTATATATACCACATCTTCTTTATCCATTCATCAGTTAATGGACACTCTGGTTGCTTCCATATCTTGGCAATTGTAAATACTGCCGAGAACATTGGGGTTTGTGTATCTTTTCAAATTAGTGTTTTTGTTTTCTTCGGATATATACCCAGGAGTGGAGTTGTTGGGTCGTATGGTAGTTCTAGTTTTAGTTTTTTGAGAAAACTCCGTACTGATTTACACAGTGGCTGTACCAATTTACATTTCCACTAGAAGTGTGGGAGGGTTCCCTTTTCTCTGTATCCTCGCCAGGATTCGTAGTTTTAATTTTTTTTGGATTCTATGACTTGATGTTTACTGATAGTTTTGTAGAATTCTTTGCCATTATCTCTTCCACTATTGCTTCTGCACCATTCTCCTCCTTTTGAGGACTCCAATTACGTTAACTTTTTTGTAGTTATATCTCTTTAGGGGACATAGGCCCCACATGTGTCCTATTCCATCCATTTTGCTCCCTAAACCTGAGGCAAGATATTTTCTACTAATTTATATTCCTGTTCACTAGTCCTCTCTACTTCTCTGTACAACCTATTAGACGCATTTATTGAGTTCCTAATTTCAGCTGTATCTTTCAGTTCTAGAATTTCCATTAGTCTCTTTTTTAAAAGTTCTAGTTCTCAGATGAAATGCCATCTTTTAAAAAAACTATTGAAGTACAGTTGAATTACCTCTGTCTTTTCTTGTATATATTACCACAGCTCTTCAGATGTTTAAGTCTGATCATCACACAGACAGGTTATCAGGGTCATAAATGAGCCACCACCGGTGGGACCGTTTCTACTGTTTTTTTGCTCTTGGTCCCGGTTTCGGTTATGCCTGTGTTGCCGAACCAGGTTTGTTTCCCCGATGCGCAGCCAGCCAAAATGCTGAGACGCGGAGGTTTGCAGCCAAGAGAGGGCTTAGTCACACGGCAGCCAAGGGAGGAGACGGGAAAACAAGTCTCAGATACAGCTCCGGAAAGGCGAGGGGCTCAGAGTATTTGTGGCGTAAAGAATAAAAGAAGCTGGATGGTCGGAAGTGTGGGACCTGAAAGTGAAAAGCTCGGGGAAAGGCAATTGGAAAATGGTGCGCGATCCTCATTCTGCGCATGCGTAATAAGCTACAGGCCTTCCAACGTTCAAACGCCGGGGCGCTTAGCCTGCGCTGAGGGCGGAGTCTCCGGACGCTCGCGCATGCCCAGTTGGAGGGTCGGCGGTCCTAACCAGTCTTAACTGGCTCCACTCCCCGGAGGACACAGCTGTCTTCTGGAAAACACCTCAGGTGATACCTTATTGTTTAGGAGGACCTGCAAGCCTTGAAACGACTTTAATGAGCTAAGGCAGGTGAAATGGCTGTGACTAGAATTTACCCACATTTCACCTGGTCATCTCTAATTGCGGGACGTAAGGGATAGAACGTTGTAGAGCTTCAGAACGATGCTCCCTTCTTCCTCAGGCTTAGCCCGTTCTGCTGGAAGGCAGCCACAGGTGAGTCACGTTACCTCAGTCAGTCAGCGTCAGACAAATTTCGGGCTGGGCTGCATTCTTTGCAAAGTTTGTTCCACCTCTGGGTCCTCCGAGCACCCACGGTCCCGCCGATAGCCCGGGTTTCGTCACTGCCCTCCTCTTGGTGGATCCCACACTTTAATTTTTGTGTTCTCAGCACCTTGAGACTTGAAAGTTCCACTGAGCTTTTCCAGCTGCTTTTAGCTGGGTCTCTGAGCTTCTTGCCTTCATAGTTTAAGAATTATCAAAAAAAAAAAAAAAAAGGACAGTGGGAAGGTAATAGCTCAGAGGTAGGGCACACCTGCAGGAGGTCCTCGGTTTCATCCCCAGGGCCTCCATTAGGAAAACAACAACAACAACAAAACTATCAAATGACTGGAGGGCAAAACCAGAGAAGAGCCTTGGGCTCATTCCTCTGCATCTCTCTTCTCTCTGGCATTTGGGCCCCAATTCCATTGTTTGTTTCCCTAGTCCTTAGAGTTTGCCAAAAGCGCTGTCTTGATTCTCAGTCTCTAGCTCAAAACTACTTAAAAACCAGCCAGCAAAGTGTTGGTTCCCCTCTATGAGCTTCCCTTTATTTTTGCATCCTGGCACTGCTGGAGAGTTTAACAGCTTTCCAGTGTCCTCAGATAATTATTTTTCCGAGTTTTTAATTGTTCAGAGCCAGAGCAGAGAAACCTGCAATATAGAAAACGCTTTCTTACAAGTTCCCCCCTTTTTTTTTATCTTCACAAAAACCCCGTGTGGGAGAAAAGGCATAGGTCACTACTCGCATCTGACACAGTGTTGACAAGCTGCGGTGGGGAGTCTGGAGGAAGAAGTCCATCTACCTAAAGGCAGGGCTGACATGAGAACCCACACCTCTTGGTTCCTAGTATGATATATTCCTTCATGCCATCCTGCCTCTCATGTGTATCAGTTTGCTAGGGCTGCCATAACCAAATAGCGCAGATTGAGTGGTTTAAACACAGAAATGTATTCCCCCACAGTTCTGGATGCTAGAAGTCTTAAGATCAAGATCTTGGCAGGGTTGGTTTCTTCCTAAGTTTCTCTCCTTGGCTTGTAGATGCTGCCTTCTTGCTGGGTCCTCACACAGTCTTGTGCAGTGTCCTAATCTCTTCTTGTAATGACACCAGTCCTGTCAGATTAGGGCCCACCTGGTGGCCTTGTTTTAATTTAATTTCCCCTGTAAAGGCTCTATCTCCAAGTAGAACCCCATTCTGAGGTGCTGAGGGGTTAGGGCTTCAACATACGTAATTGTTTAGGTGGGGGGCCCATTTCAGCCCATAACACTATATAAACAACTTACGAATGAAATGACCAGTTTTCTTAAAATCTCTATAAATTAAATGTGTAGGGGCCTTCTTTGTCTTAGCCCAGAGCTCTCAAAGTTTGGCACCAGTTCCCCAATGTCAGTATTAGCATGAACTGGTTAGAAATACAAGTTCTCGCTCCCCACCCAGGACCTATTTAGTTAGAAGCTCTGGGGTGGGCCCAGTAAACCCTCCAGGTGATTCTGATTCAGACCCAATACCTTAGCAGCAGGGGAAAGGACAGCTCGGAGGCAGAGTTGGTTCAGCTGTAAATTCTGGTCATGTTATTCCCAAGTCCTTTTCTAAAGGATGACTCTCCAGAGATGTCAGATTATGATTGATGGCCAGATCTGTCAGACAGCAGCATTTAAATCAATGCTCATCTGTCTTGCGGTATCATTCGGCATTCAAATATCACCTACTGTTTTGAGGATTTATAAGGGAGGCAACTTTCAGGGGAAAGCTTTCTTATTTGAGAAATGAGGTTGTTCACTAATCTGGGCCTCAGTTTTATTATCTCTAAAATGAGAAATCCGAATTCCTTTTCTAGCTCAGACAATCTGTGCATCTGTATGAATGACTCAGAGCAGCTAATATCTGAGCAGTGGCAAGCGTTGTGATTTTCTGGGATTCCCTGGATGGTCAGACTAAACACCCAAAACTGCATCAGGCAAAGTGCTTCAAGTTAGAAGTTTCTAGAGATTCTCCTTCTGGGAGTCTCTAAATGAGGCTGGTCAGAGACAGATCAACAAGAGAAAAACAAACCAAAGTGTATTAACATGTGCAGTGGGCATGTACACATAGGCACATCCAGTGATGGGTAACCCAAGGCGGTGGTTAGAACTTGAGCTTCTGCACCATCTCAGACTAAAACAAAGAAAAAGTGGTTCTGGGCTTCTGGGTGGGAGAGGCAAGTTATGGGAAAGGAAGAGTAAAGTAAGCAAGGTTGTTTAGTAAGTTTTGTTGTGTGGAGGTGAGTTGGTTCCTTCTCCATTATAAGAATTGTGAGGAGTCCTCTTGGTATGGGAGAAGGAGACATCTTTATAAAAAAGGAAACTTTCTTTATAAATGTAAATTTCCTTTACAAAAGGAAAACTTTGCCCTGTTTTTAGAGCTTTTCCTGAACTTGCTGGTTCTCAAAGGCATTTAGCTCAAAATAATCCATATACCAAAGAGGCATATTTGGGCTTATTTTGGGGTGGCGTATTCTGGCATCCCTCTATTTACCTCCAGTCATTGCTGTGTTCCCCCAGCCCTGGCTGAGTGCATGCAGTGAGTGCTTGATGAATATGGGAGGATGTAGGTCAGAATTACCGTATTGCCCCAAAGATCCTTAACTTCCTCAGACCTAGGAAGCAGCCTTACCTTTGGGGTGTCCTCAGTAAAACTGTGGGCTCAGTGTTGCTGTGTCACCAGCAGCTGTCATCATTGTGTTTCAAATTTGCAGTGAGCAGCACGCTTTCTGCCTCATACATAAGCTCTTTTGATCTCCTTATCACAACTTCATGAAGTAGGCAAGGAAGGTTATTTGGCCCATTTTACTGCCTTGCAGAATTCTCAGAAAAGTTAAATATTTGCCCCAGGTGTTCTCCGTGTTTTGGGACTGGGAATAAGAAGAAATAATACACACAACAACCAAACTCTTGAAGAATGAGGCAGTGCCTTGGAGTTTCTGCTCCGAGTGGCCACGGAGCCCAGGGCAGCATCTCTTTCCTGATATAATCAAATTTATTTTTAAACACGTTGAGTTGATTAAAGTGTCAGGTCTGGATGGAGTGGGTGAGAAGGCAGAATAAGACCTCTTTGGCTCCTATATTAATTTCCTCCTCGTAGCTGTGCAAAATCCAACTGACTGTATTTCTGGGGGAAATTTAGAAGCTACTGGTTATTCTTACCAAGGGGAATTGTGGTTTGGCCTGTGTGGAGGGAAATCAAGAGGGGGCTGAGGAAAGCTGTGGGCAAAGCTGGCTCTGAACACGAGATTCGTCTGAGCAAGTCTTCAGCATCACTCTGTGCCTGCTTCCAGGACAGCGGCGAATTTGCATAGTGTAATGATGTATCGCCTGTGCGTTCCTGTTAATTATTTTACAATGACCGTAACTACTATTAACATGCGACGGCGCCTCATTAGAATGTGTAATTGTGTCTGTCAGTGGTGATATTATTACGTGTCTTTTACTAGAATATGGGACGTGAATTCGAGTCCCTGAGACTCTCCATTTCCCGTTCTCCAGGTAGACTCCTACCTGGAGATTCATCTGTTCTCTTACGTCCGAGTGCGGTTGTACTTAAACTATTTTAGGGAGATGGCTGTGTATTAAAGACGTACACAGACACACAGACCCTCATAACTCCAAAAAGTCTATAGCCATTCTTTGGCAATTTGCTATAGTGTTTTTTGCAACTGACTTAAAAGGTTTCTGCCCAGGCCAAACCTGAATTTGCTTGATGGGTGTAAATCTGTTCCTTTTCTTTCTCCCAGAGCACAGCTGTTCTCACATTAGAAGGTCACCCTGTGGCATCTTGTTCCAGGCTCCTTTCGGGGC